AGACTAAGCACTAAATCGGAGTAACCGCTCTTCACAAAGTTATAACAAAGTTACTGTGTTCACGGAATATTTATGAACTTTTTCAGGGTCAGATTGAGAAAGCTCGCTACTGGACGTGTTTCGGCTCGGTGAGAAAATGTAAGCCAAGACGCAAAGGTAAACCGCTCAAATTGTGCTCAAATTGCGGCGATAATTGGGCGAAATCAGTAGAAGACTGCTTTCGTAAGGAATATGAGCTTAAGGGTCAGAGCAGGAAAGAATTGGTAAAACGTATCTGTGACACCGTTTTAAATGATAGTTTTTTTTGAAGCTCGTGAGTTTTTTCGTCCTTTCCTTGCTTCGAGTCAGAGTGCACAGCTAAAGTCGGCATGAATTTAAAATTACTTTTTTTTTTTAACATAATTTTGTCGTGATAACACATTTCACGATTTTATCATTTCTGATTTTAAATGCCTTTTGCATTATGAGTTGCTGGTTTTTTTCTTTTCATAGGTCGTGAACTATACGAAATACGTGCTGACTGTGCAATGCTGCTTTATTGCCGATTAGCATTGAAGATGCGAATGGAAACAAAACATTTTTGTTTCTTAAGAAGTTTGCCCACTTTTTCTCAAATGGTAGCTTGTCTGGCACATAAAAGGTCCATATTGCACTTTCCCCGAAGCGGGCAGTATCGTTCATTTTGCTTTGGTTCAGTTTATAACAGCTTGAAGAAAATGACAGTTAAAAAGCTGGTTGTGAGATCTAGCAATTAATTCAGCTGGCTTTGAGTTTTGAGGGTTTATGCCTCATCAGACTTATTTTGAGCCCATCAAGGAAAAAATCAAGACTTCTCGGACAGTGATAGCGTAAACTAGTAGATTATAGAATATCGGAGTGGTGAAGAATTGAACCTAAGCTTTTGTTTAAAAAAATTTATTTGTTCAATTTTTTCAGTGTTAATTGAAGAGCCTAAGCATTGCATATTCTGGGAACATTGTGATATATCACTCATGAAACTTTGTGGGAGAGAGTGCGAATGAGGGCGGGGGGGGATAGTCAGAGGAACAGTTTGCTGAGCAGTGGAACAAAATCAACGAACGCGCAAACTTCAGGCCTTTTCACGCTGTCCTTTTCCGTTAATGAGAGCTCGTTGCGACGTTTGACTTTACCAAAAGTCTTGCGACATATGCTGTGACATGTGTCAGCTGCAGTCGAGAAAATACAACGATCCATCTTTTTGCTTTATTTAGGTGGAGAAGAGCACGAATAAAGGTGAAAGCGAAATTTTGAAAGACCGCTAGCAATGCCAGCGCTCAAAAATGTTACTTGGTTTTTGAATGGGGCTTTTTGGTGGATGGGTTTTTTTGATGGGCTTTTTGATGTTTTTGGTGGGCTTTTTTGATGTTTCTGGTGGATGAGGGCTTCTCAGCCGATGTAAAGTATCGGTTCGTCTTTTCTACTGGGGTTTTTTTTCTTTGTTATCATGCACGCATGTGCGCTGAATTAAAAGTTAAAAAGAATGCATGAGAGGAAGGCAGCATGAGTTCAGTCACGGGCTCTAATATCTGATTTTCCCTGCGAATCCACCGGTCCAAAATTGTTGCGAACAGCGCCGCATGTGTTGCTGAGAAGCGTAATTAATCGACACTCCGTTCAGATGACATCCTCAAGAAAAAGTACTGTGTAGCTGGGTGCAAGGGGGCTTGCAACAATTGATTTCTGCAGCTTCGTTTGTTG